ATACATGAATAAAAATTTAAACTGCATATGGCCAAAATGACCATGGTGGCTAAGAGGCTTTAGTAGACTTATAGGCACCCTGAATCTCCCTACTAGGCAGTCACTTGATTCACATGATTTGAAAGCTCTGAAATGGTTCAACAGTTTTACAATTATTTGTAAAATAATTACAGATATAAAAAAATCAGTACAGTTATCTCTTGCTATACATGAGGCATTAGTTCCAAGCCCACCTACAGGTACCAAAATCTGTGCATACTCAGGTCCTATAGTTGGCCCCGCCAAACTTGCATATACCAACAGTCGGCCTTCCCTATACATAGGTTTCACATCTTGCTAATACTGTACTTCCTCCCTTCCTACCTCCCTTCCTCCCTTCCTCCCTTTCCTCCTTCCCTCTTTTCTTTCTTTCTCTCTTTCTCTCTCTCTCTTTCTATTATTATTTCAATAGTTTTGGGGGAGAAAATATGGTATGTTCAATCTGCTTTTGGTTGAAAAAAAAATCCATGTAAGAGTGGATCTGCACAGTTCAAACACACATTCTTCAAGGGTCAACTGTAATTGAAATGAGAAATTGATAGAGATAGCATTCTGGCTTTTATGATATAAGCTCCTGGAACCCTTACTAGGAAAAACTACCATATATTAAAACGTTGAACAAACCCTCAGCAGAGGTTCCTTCAAACTGGGCAATGCCCAAGCTTGGGTAAAGGTCAAGGGGGCTCTGGGCCTATGTGAACATGCTAGAATTGGGAAACCAGGTTACAAAAGGGAGATAAGAGATATGAAACCTTTCAGATGAGTACAGGTATTATAATGCTACATCTGCACTGTAAGACATGCTGGTGAAGGGATTTAGCCTACACTGCATTTGGCTCTAATGGCCCAATGAGCAGTATTCCTTATCTTGTCTTGGTTCTGTGTAGTGCTGTCCTCTCTCTCCTACCCAGCCTGGATTTTTTGCTCTCTAAATTTACACACTCTTAAGCTAAACTCAAACTCCATGAGGTGATGATCTGGTTCAGGTAAATCAATAAGATGTCAATGCTTAAGAAATATAATCTAGGCGTGGTGACTCATGCCTGTAATCCCAGCACTTTGGGAGGCTGAGGTGGGCAGATCACCTGAGGTCAGGAGTTCGAGACCAGCCTGATCAACATGGAGAAACTCTGTCTCTACTAAAAATACAAAATTAGCTGGGCATAGTGGCGCATGCCTGGAATCCCAGCTACTCGGGAGGCTGAGGCAGGAGAATTGCTTGAATCTGGGAGGCGGAGATTGCGGTGAGCAGAGGTCGCACCATTGCACTCCAGCCTGGGCAACAAGAGCGAAACTCCATCTCAAAAAAAAGAAAAAAAAAAAAGATATAATCTACCTGGGCATGGTGGCTCATGTCTGTAATCCCAGCACTTTGGGAAGCTGAGGCAGGAGGATCACTTGAGCTCAGGAGTTTGAGACCAGCCTGGGCAACATAGTAAGACCTTGTCTCTACTAAAAATTAAAAAATTAGCCAGGTATGGGCCAGGCACAGTGGCTCATGCCTGTAATCTCAACATTTTGGGAGGCCGAGGCGGGCGGATCACCTGAGGTCAAGAGTTCGAGACCAGCCTAGCCAACATGGTGAAACCCCATCTCTACTAAAAATACAAAAATTAGCCAGGGGTGTGGTGGTGTGTGCCTGTAATCCCAGCTACTCGGGAGGCTGAGGCAGGAGAATGCTTAACCCGGGAGGCGGAGGTTGCAGTGAGCTGAGATAGTGCCCTTGCACTCCAGCCTGGGCAACAGAGTGAGACTATCTTAAAAAAAGAAATTAGCCAGGTATGGTGGCACAGGCCTGTAGTCCCAGCTACTCCAAAGGCCGAGGCAGGAGCATCACTTAAGCCCAGGAGTTTGAGGCTGCAGTGAGCTGTGATCACACCACTGCACTCCAGCCTGAAAGAGTAAGACTCAGCCTCAAAAAAAAAAAAAGAAAGAAAAAAGAAATACAATCTAAGGCCCTTCAATATAAGTATTAAAAACTAAGAAAAAAAAACCCTATCTACTGTAATGCTATGTCACTATACATTTCACTTTATGAAGCTAAAAAAAGAAAGGCTGTAACTGCTTAATAATGGGTTTACTTTAACTTCTGTAAAGACAAAATAGCTATTGACAACAAGATGGATAATAATAATCAGTGATTTAGAAAGCTAAATTTCCACTGACTTCAACTTCTAAAACAGTGGTCTATTTTTTTTTTTGAGACAGAGTCTTACTCTGTCGCCCAGGCTGGAGTGCCGTGGCGCGATCTCGGCTCACTTGCAACCTCCACCTCCCTGGTTCAAGCGATTCTCCTGCTTCAGCCTCTTCAGTAGCTGGGACTACAGGCACCTGCCACCACGCCCGGCTAATTTTTTGTATTTTTAGTAGAGACGGGGTTTCACCATGTTAGCCAGGATGGTCTCGATCTCCTGACCTCATGATCCGCCTGCCTTGGCCTCCCAAATAGTGGTCTATTTTTTTTTGCTATCCTCTTAAAGGGTAGACAATAAGTCAGAGTGACTTGTTTTTTGAGCTTGTCCTCGTAACTGTCAAAATGAGAGCTTGAATTTAAAACAAAGCTGACTTTCCAGGAAATCAAGAATTCACAGCAACATAACTTATCTACACATAGAAATTTTCCTTAAGACAATGTATCTGTCACTAAAAATAGCAGATATTTTTATTTAACATTAATAAAATTAACAGAGGCACTTTAAGAAAAAATGGCCCTCTACATTCATTGCTAAGTGACTTCTATTGCTACACTATGTATTATGTTACTTTGCATTCCCATATTAAAGCCTGAGTTCTTTATACTGAGCCTTTAGCACATCACATTTAGTTATTCAACAATTCTTTAGTTCAGTTTAATTAAAATACTGGATGGATTCTATGAATCTATGAAGTAGATTAGTAGACACAGAGATTATCAAGACATATTCCCTACCCTTAAGAACTCATATAGTATAATGTAATATAAGAAAGTCTCCTTTACTAAAAACTAAGGAATTTTATTGGATGAATGACATACAAATAAAAAAATTATAAATACTGAGCTTAGATAAGGAACCCGTTGAATACCACTTATCTCGTTGAGTTGGCTTTCTATAGTTTCAATGTGTTTTCATTACTTTGCCAGGGGTCTAAGTCCAGTTCTAGGTCCTTGGGGCACTCTTTTCATGATGGCTGCACATCCAACTCCAGATAGAAACTGTGTTCTACAAAATACTCAACTGAACCACAGACCATGTGCTTCTCTGAAACCCTTTAATACATATTCTTAAGCCCTTTTAACTTGAGTAAAGTCCAACAACTGTTATTTTTGCTGTTTTGGCTTGACTTACTCTATCTCACTGTTTTCTATACCCATAGGCCAGTAATTCCCAACTTTTTGTTCATCTAGACACAGCACAAGATAAGTACAGCAATATCCTCCTGTGGGTGTAAGCAGAAGTTGTATGTGCTGTGTATCCCACATAAAACTTGAAGGCAAGGCTGAGAACCTCTCTTCCAGTTTGTGCTCAGAGAAATCTACTTCAACTCCCACCATAGCCTCTGTGTGCAATTAACCTTAAATTATCTCGTTTTTCTATACCAAAATTTTCAATTCAGCAACCTCTATGCCACCATGACTCTACTTTTTATTTATTTATTATTTTTTGGAGACAGGGTCTCATTTTGTCACCCAGGCTGGAGTGCAGTCACACGATCATAGTTCACTGCAGCCTCAAACTCCTGCACTCAAGGGATCTTCCTGCCTCAGCCTTCCAATTAGCTAGAACTACAAATGTATACCACCATGCCCGGCTAAATTTTTGTATTTTTTGTAGAGATGGGGTCTTGCTATGTTGCTCAGGCTGGTCTCGAACTCCTGACCTCAGGAAATCCTCCCACCTCGGCCTCCCCAAATGCTGGGATTATCAGCATTAAGCCACAGTGCCGGGCTCTTCTTCATTTTTTACCCGACTTCTTACTGTGTCATTACTTCTGGTCCATCATTAAATTATTATTCCCAAATGCACATTTCCATCTCAGAAGAGAATCTGAACAATTAAAGTCATCATATTTAGGGAAGTGATTTATCCATCAGTTATGCATATAGATAAATATCATAGACTATCACACGTAGGTACATACATATACATCTTCAGACACATACTTCTGTCCTTTTCTGTACTAGACTCTGCTACCTTCCTACCTCTTCAGCCTTATTTGGAATCTAGCTAGGTAACAAGGAGGAATCCCTTAGTACAGATAATCCACAAAGCAGATATTATGCCAGTGGATAATGAAGGATCATTTACTATGCCATAATGAGAGAATCCTCTGATAAGCCCCTGGACTTTTTAGATACAATCATAGGAAGAGAATGTGATGGGTCTTTATGAAATCCAAAAATGACTTAAAAAACATAAGGTAACTTTACAAATAAGGCATGCCAAATAATAGAAAACATTTTATATATGGTTTTTATAATTTAAAAAGTAACTCTTTAAAGCAGCTATTCTAGATGATATTGAATAATTCTGTCACCATGTATTTTTCTCATGTATGGATTATTACACTGAAGTACATCACTACTGAACTATCCATTAGAAATGCCTAACACATGAAGAAGAGTAAAAAATATTTGTATAGTCTTAGGTATAGCCTTTCTCCATGTACCGGGGGTAACTTGGATAGAATTTTTAAAACTTAAACAAAACAATCTCCTGCATGTGTTTGGTATCAAAAGACCACAACTTTAAATACAGCTAGAAGTATTTTGGCAACTTTAAGTAAGAAACATGAAATATATTTTTCATAATGATTACTGGATTAACTAGATTGATAGCATTACTTTTCCTGGAAGACTAGGCTTTAATTTTAAATGTGAACTACACTTTTTATTTATAAAAAAAGTTTTTGCCATTCCAATACATCAGTGTCATAAACACAAACTACAAATACAGTCTAGTTAAATAAAAACTTTTACATACGTGAGAGTTGTTTCCATTCTCGAGACTTGTTCAAGGTCTTCATCAGGGTCCTTGAATCCAGTAAAGGAGTAATAAGACTTGTCCCATTTGATGGGCCTGTCAGGCATCCTTTTAGCTTCTTTGAGAGGCTGGGTATGCACATTAGTATTCAAGCTTTGGATATGTTCAATAGATAAACTGCAGGAGTTGAGAATATATAATACTGTGCTTAGCAGATCTCTGGTGTGCAAAGTAAATTTGACTGCTCGAAATCCTAGAGAATATAATTCCCCCAAACAATTAATACAGATGATTATTTGCTTTATTTCAACATGTATAAAATCAAAATCTTTGAAAACATTCTATTACTGATTTAAATTTGTCCTATTAGCAAATCACCTGTAAATAGAAAAATGACTTCCCTTCTCTAAAACTATACCACACAATGTTTTACCTTCGTGAACTCCTTCAATCATCAGCTCCATTTTCTAGTTTGGTTCCAGTGACCAAACCCATCCCAGCCCAACAAGGGGATTCAGAATATTCTCAATTCTGTCGATAAATCTGGTCTCTTAAGAGAGAGAAAAGCTCTCCTATAAGCAGGTGTACACCAAAGATAGTTTCTAGTGGAGACAGGAGAATACAGGTATACACTGTGACAGCGGTTCAGGTAAGAGGGGCCATATAATCTAGTCTCAGTGGTCACAGAAACCCATCTTGAATTTTCTCTATGATTGAAGGAGATGGTCTTCATACTTGCTCACTTGACTAGGTAGTAACCCAATATTTTCAGGAATGATTTAAAATTCTCTAGTTGTTTAAAAGTTACTCCTGTAATCCCAGTACTTTGGGAGGCCGAGGTGGGTGGATTATGAAGTCAGGAGCTCGAGACCAGCCTGACCAAGATGGTGAAACCCCATCTCTACTAAAAATACAAAAATCAGCTGGGTGCAGTGGTGGGCGCCTGTAATCCCAGGTACTTGGGAGGCTGAGGCAAGAGAATTGCTTGAACCTGGGAGGCGGGAGTTGCAGTGAGCCGAGATTGTGCCACTGAACTCTAGCCTGGGTGACAGAGCAAGACTGTTTCAAAAAAAAAAAAAAAAAGTCACTGATTTTGATGTTGGGTAATCATTGGACTAAGGTAAGTAATCTAAATTGTTAAGTGATCAATAAAAAATCCACTGGTTTTGTTTTTTTTCTTTTCTGGGTGTTAGGCATGGTTCCAGCTTAATTTACATATCTTTTTTTTTTTTTTTTTTTTTTTTGACGTTCGTTGTCCAGGCTAGTGCCATCTCGCTCACTGCAGCTCCGCCTCCCGGTTCCGCATTCTCCTCTCAGCTCCGAGTAGCTGGACTACAGGCCCACAACCGCCCGGCTATTTTTTTTTTTTTTAGAGACGGTTTCACCTTCTCGATCTCCTGACTTGTGTCGCCGCCTCGCTTCCAAAGTGCTGGATTACAGGTGAGCACCGCCCGGCAATTACATATCTTTTCAACCAACCAACATGCATTATATTTCTCCTGTCAAATGTAAGAAATAATAAAATGAACAGGCTAAATCTGAGTTTCAACCAACACTACCACCAACTATGCCATTATCATTTCTCCTGTCAAATGTGAAGGAACATAGATTAAGAATGAAGCCAGGGCTTAAATCTGAGTTGATACCAAGCCAAAAATTTTCTCCATACAACATGCTGACTCTTTGCTTTTAAAAAAAATTTTTAATTAGTTTTGAAAATTAAAAGCAAAAGTCTCCTGTTAGCAGGCATACAACTTTACCATCTTTACTTGAGGTAATCACTATTAATAGGTACATATTCTTCCAGACCTGCTCTATCCAAGATGGTAGCTACTAGGACAGTGGCAATTTAAAATTAAATTGATGGAAATGAAATAAAAATTTAAAATTAAGTTCTTTGGCCACATTGGCCACATTTCAAGTGCTCAATAAGCACAAAGGGCTAGGGCCTGCCATATTAGATGATGCAGATATGGAACATTTCCCTCATTACAGAAAGTTCTCTTGGGCAGCACTGTTCTTTGACCTTTTCCATCTATGTGCTTGTATGTGTGTACCACATATGAGGCCAGGGCAGTGGTTCATGCCTGTAATCCCACCACTTTGGGAGGCTGAGACAGGTGGAGCACTTGAGGCCAGGAGTTTGAGACCAGCCTGGCCAACATGGTGAAACCGTGTCTTTACTAAAAATACAAAAATTAGCTGGGTGTGGTGGTGTACTCCTGTAATTCCAGCTACTCAGGCGGCTGAGGCAGGAGAATTGCTTGAACCCAGGAGGTGGAGATTGCAGTGAGCGAAGACTGTGCCACTGCGCTTAAGCCTGGCAACAGAGCAAGACTCTGCCTCAGAAAAAAAAAAAGTATCTGCAACTTTTGTGATGACAGACACCACAATTCAAATCATTCTCACAGATACACGTTCTGCTTGCCACACCAACTTATGAGATCCAGAACATGCCAACTAAGAAATACTTTTTTTTAGTTCAATAATTTGGGGAAACTTAGAACTACTGGCAAGGGAATTATTCTAGTCAGTGAAGGAGGAAAGGAAAACCCAAACTGCTGCATTGGAGGTTAAGAAAAAATAGCTCATCCTCAGAAGTGCACAATCAAGGAGTAAATCTGTTTCTATCTCAATTTATCAGCTTCATTATTTAATCCAACGTAAGAGTTACTATATAGTAAGGACAGCCTGTACCACACTGCAAATATCCTTTACTGGTTCCTCAGGATACATTCCGAGAAGAATTTTGTGGCTTTGGGGAGAGAATGCCAAGTTGCAGAGTTTGTAGAGTTTGCACTAATTTATATACCCATCAATAATGTGGGAAAATGTATTTTTACCATTCATGGGTATTACCAGCAAAAAAAGAAAAAAAATAATGGGCAAAATATACTGCTTAATTATTTCAGTTTGCGTTCGAATACTGAGGCTAAAGATTTTTTTTTTTTTTTGAGACAAGGTCCCACTCTGTCACCCACGCTGGAGTGCAGTGGTGCCTACCATCTTGCCTCACTGTAACCTCTGCCCCCTGGGCTCAGGTGATTCTCCTACCTTAGGCTCTCGAGTAGCTAGGACTACAGGCATGTGCCACCACACCTGGTTAATTTCTTGTATTTTTAGTAGAGACAGGGTTTCACTATGTTGCCCAGGCTAGTCTGGAACTCCTGGACTCAAGCAATTTGCCTGCCTCAGCCTCTCAGAGTGCTGGGATTATAGGTGTGAGCCACCATGCATGGCCTAAAGATTTTTATATACTTAACTGACATTTATATGTGTTATTTCTTGAACTGTCTATTCATTGTCTTTGTCCATTTTTGGAATGGAGCTACTCTGGTTCATTTTTAATTTGTAAAAACTCTTTATGTATAGCATCATCTTTTTGTCATATATGCTATATCTTTTCTCCCATTTCTAGTTTAATTTTTTCTGTACCTTTTACTTTTTTTTTTTTTTTTAATGACAGTCTCGGCCAGGTGCGGTGGCTCATGCCTGTAACACTAGCACTTTGGGAGGCCGAGGTGGGCGGATCACGAGATTAAGAGATCAAGACCATCCTAGCCAATATGGTGAAACCCTGTCTCTACTAAAAATACAAAAATTAGCTGGGCGTGGTGCCGCGTGCCTGTAGTCCCAGCTACTCAGGAGGCTGAGGCAGAAGAATTGTTTGAACCCGGGAGGCAGAGGTTGCAGTGAGCCAAGATTGCTACACTGGACTCCAGCCTGGCGACAGAGCAAGACTCCGTCTCAAAAAAAAAAAAAAAAAACAAAAACAAAAACCAAAAAAAACAGTCTTGCTGTCTTGTCCAGTTGTCCAGGCTAGCCTCAAACTCCTGGGTTCAAGGGATTCTCCCACTTCAGTGTTCTGTGTAGCTGAGAGTACAGGCTTGTGTCACCATGCCCAGCTTTAAGCTATTTTTGTTTAAGAAATCATTCAAAGTTAACCATTAACTGAAAGTAAAGGATTCTGTTTTTACTCAGCCAGAGCTGGCTACAGCTATTTGTCTTCGCATTAATCCACAGAAAGCTCTTAGTAAATCTCTAACTTGTTTTAAAATTTATTCTAATAACAACATTTACTTCCTCACGAACCACCAAAAAGATATGGAGCTGAAGAAATAATTTCAGCCTTTAAGGATTTCAATGTATTAATAATGCTAAAGGCTCATAAAATTTCAGTAATGAAAATCACTAGTGAACATTTTACCTTATTACCATCTTAATTATCCAAAGCTGATTAATGATTTCTAGTGTTCTAGAAATAAAAATTTTTTAAAAACCTACTTGATTTTAATTTCATAATCAGGTAAACATGTTACAGAAGTAAAAATGTTTTAAATCTTTGTCAGAGGGCCAATCTTTGTTATAAAGGCAAAAGGAAAAATGATTAATTACAATATTTTAAAAGAAGAATTAATAGATAATGTCGTATACAAATCAAAACACTGGACTAGGAATAAGGAGACATTAGTTCTAGTACCAGCTCTGTCCCTAATTTGCTGTGTGAAACTTTCTAAGATTTCCACTAAGCTTTTAAATTCAATTTACTCTTTAACTCCATGTATATTCAATATTTAAGACAAATCCAGCTGATGGTGGTAGCAGAAGAAGTAGTTGTAGCTGTAGGAATGAGCTTGACTCTCTCAACCACATACAAATAAAAACAGATTGATGATAATATTTTTATTTTAACAACTATAAAGGATATAATCTGCCTCTAAAAATTCCATCTGTCCTCCTGGAGAAATCATGAAACCTAAGTAGACCACTATATATTAAGTAAGACGTTATTTAATTCCTAGCCTAATCTTGACCCTAACAGGAGCATATATCTATTAAAAATATTTATGAGTATTTGATTTTACACTAGTAACAATATATCTCAGTTGCTTGAGACTCTCATGGCTAAGAACAGCACATTCACAATGTATTTAAACTTTCAAATAGAATTGTGTCACTTAGAGTGATCAACATGCTTATTATTCATTATTTACAGCATTCTTCAGTATAGCTGTTCCTTCACAAATGGGCTATGAGTTGACTTTCTGTCTTTAAATATTGAAGAATAGGGCTATTTTTAATAAAACTCTACATCAGAGGTAAATGGAGAAACTGCCAAGAAAAGGAATTTGTGACTCCTGATCTCCCATATTCAATTATGAGAAAATAAAAGGTAAGAGATCGTATACTATCAAATACTAGTCCCTGGAGAGACTGGGTGAGGCGTTGTCTTCAACATACTTCAGCATTCTTCAGATCAAGCTCTTCCTCCTTCCATTTGAAGTCCTGAGAGCCATGGGAAGGTGAGGTGTAAATTAGGGATCTTCCATGTGAGTGGCCTCTACACAGTTCTCCAGCTCTTTCATTTTAATAAATGAACACCCAAAAGTTAAAGGTCACACAGCTAGGTCACTGGCAGAGCTAGAAACAGATTTTAGATCTCAAAGACCTATCAAATTCTGAGTCTTATAGCAGTTTGTTTCAAAAAAAAATTACAGTGTATCCTGTTTTAGCCTTAACTCACAGAAAGCACTGACTCTTTAAATTGTCTTAAGTTCATACTAAAAATATATTTATTTCCTCAAGGATCATCAAAAGCATGTATAATTAGAGAAATGATAGGCCTTTAGTGACCTTAACCTAAATATTTGTCCTTAATTTTAAATATGGAAAAGCAGTGACAAAAGGCAGTGAAAAGGTGGCTGTCTACTAAGATCAATTGGATTTTAGAAGCAGCATAAAGTTGGAGTTAAAAGACCTGGGTTCAAGACTTATATTCTTTCTCTCTGGTCTTGGGAAAGGCACTGAACATCACTAAGTTACAATTGGGTAAATACTTCCAGCTTCAGAGTATTCGGAGGACTAAATAAGAGAATGCAAGCTGTAGTTTTTAGAAATACATATTGTTTGGACATGTTTAACACTTAAAATAACACTGAACTGGGAAGAGGACAAATAGGAACACTTTAGTTTTAGAAACAAAAAAGTTTAAACATGTAAAAAAATCACTTGTTCAAACATATGCAGCTAGGAATAGAATCTAATTCTAGGAAAACAATCAATTAAATGCTATTATTTTTTTATCACCAAAGTTTTGATCCAAAGGTATTCTGACAATGTCAAAATTAATGAACACATTTAACATGAAGCTTGCAAGGGACACACCAGAAATAAAAAACGTACCGGAAGTACTAAAAGGTTCCTGGCCATCAGAGGAACTCTGGTCTGTTTCTCTTACATAAAATGTAAGCTGAGTTGGTTTCAAAGACTTGAAGCCTGGTTTCTGGAGGTTTTCTAAGTAGACACTTAACCTTTTAAGAGAATTTTCATTGATTTCCTGGAAAAAAACAGTAAGGGCATTTACATACAAAATACAACAAGGAAATATCAGAAATGATATCTATCTAACCTTTTAAACACATTGAGAGTATTAAATAATTTAGTTTTAAATACTAAGAGTATTAAATAATTTAGTATTTAAAAATGTTGGGATTTCATAGCTCTTTGGATCTACATCTCACAACATGTAACAGAATGAACTCCATATGGATAAGATGTAAAAAGATGTAACCATATAAGTAATAGAAGAAAACATGAATTCTTTTATAACCTAAATGTGGAAAATGCCAATGACTAAATATCCCAAAGTAATAAATGATAGTTTAATTTATTCTAATATGATGTTCTTAGCCACATGAGTCCTGTATGCAAGTGTGGGATATTTATTGCCAGTGTAAGACTAAATCTTCATTATTTTTTGATAAATATTTCTATTTTTGCTGCAAAGTAACACAAGAAGGCTGGATGTGGTGGCTCATGTCTATAATCCCAGCACTTTTTGGGAGGCTGAGGTGGGCAGATTGCCTGAACTCAGGAGTTTGAGAACAGCCCGGGCAACATGGTGAAACCCCGACTCTACAAAAAATACAAAAATTAGTTGGGCATGGTGGCACATGCTTGTGGTCCCAGCTACTCAGGAGGTTGAGGTAGGAGGATCACCTAAGACCAGGAGTTTGAGGCTGCAGTGAGCCCCTTGATGGTGCCACCACACTCCCCGCCTGGGTGACAGAGCAAGACACTGTCTCCAAAATCTTAAAAAAAAAAAAAAGATTATGTATAGGAAGTGAATAAGAATTGGGTAAAGGAAACAGGAATATAAGAATGAGACTTCTCATTAAACTTTAAATTTAGTTTTGATTTTTTTTTTTGAAAACTACAAATGTTTTGCAGATTTTTAAATTAAATTAAAGAGGATTAAAAAAAACCCCAAAAATCCGGTGCATCACTGTGAAACTCTGGACTTTGAGTTCGATGCTATGAATAGATGGGACTTTAAGCCAGTCTTCCTAAGAAAAGGGGCAAGGGTCTTCTCTAATAGTGGGAAGAAGACTGAACTGAACATGTGGTGGCAAAAAGAGTGACAAGAAGAGTGAACAGCCTTCATGGAGCTTGCATTTTAGTGAGGGGAGAAAAATAAACAACAAACCTAATAAATAAGGAAATAGGGTACATGGAAAGGAAAAAAAAAACCAAGAAGTACTGCAGGGTGAAAGGGGGAGGGAATGCTAGGAAGTAAAGCAGAGATAGCAATTTAAAATAGGGTAGTTTTAAAAACAAAACAAAACAAACACAAGTAACAGCATAATCTGGGAGAGCCTCACTGAAAGGTGACACTTCAGTGAGAAAGTAAAGGACAAGCCATATCTGGGATATTTAGGAAAAGGATACTCTAAGCACAGGCTAGGGCAAGGGCTTGATACAAAGGAGGAGTCAATAAATACAAGTTTAAAGATAACATGAAAATGTAAACTTATCAGAACCATTAAACTCTAGGCACATTGTGTCAGGGGTCCCCAAGACCACTCTCAGGTTCAATGATTTACTAGAAGGATTCACATAACTCAGACAAGCTGTTTTATTCACCATTATGGTTTATTACAACAAAAGAATGGAAATTAAAACCAGCAAAGGGAAAAGCTGCATAGAGCAGAATCAGGAGAGACCAGGTGCAAGCTTCCAGTTGTCATTTCACAGTGGAGTTTTATAGACAGTGCTTAATTCCCCCAGCAATGGTGTGTGACAATACGTGAAAAGTGTTGCCAACCAGGGAAGCTCATCCAAGTCTGGATGTCCAGAGTTTTACTGGTGGTCAGACAGGTAAGCATTTAGTGCTTATGTGACTTACTTTAGCTATCCAGTCTCAGCTCCCTAAATCCCCCAGGTCAAATGAATACAGTGCAGTCCAGGGTCTTAGACACAGGAAAACAGGTATTCACTATAAATCATATTGTTAGCATAAACTGTCTATCTGGTATGGTCTAACGCCTCAGGCAAACAGAAACATTCCTATCAGGTGGGATATTCCAGGGGCTCAGAGCTCATTTTCCAGGAGCCAAAGTTCAGCACTGAGGTCAGACCTTTCTTTGGAATGTGCAAGGTTTAAGCAACCCAAGCTTGCTGAGTTAACACTTTACCACACGTAGAATTTTCTGTTGTTTGTTTTTTAAATTTACGAGATGAGGTCTCACTATGTTGCCCAGGCTTGAACTCCTGGGCTCAAGTAATCCTCCTGGCTCAGCCTCCCTAGTAGCTGGGACTACAGGTTTGCCACCACGCCCTGCTGCATACAGAAGTCTTAATTTAAAAAAATACATTGGTACAATAACATTAAAGTATTACTAAGCTTGATTTTTCTATACATGTTGAATTTAAAAACTTTAAATTATTAATGCATCCCCAAGGTAATGAATATTTTTCTGTTGATTCAATTTACTGATTACTTTGAAAAGTTCTGACTTTGAGTAGCCAACATATGTATCAAATATCACAACAGAATATTTTCCTAGAAGCAAAAAAGCAAAATAGATTTTGCATTGCAAGTAGAAAAAAATAACAATGTTCTAATTTTCAAGATTTCAAGTTCCTTTTCATATTAAACTAGATATCAGTGTTAATGAAAATAGAAGGAACCAATGAAGTAATTCCAAAGCACGTGGCTTTGTAATATATAGTAGTCCCTTGGTATCCACAGGGGATTGGTTCCAGGACCTCCTGTGGATACCGAAATCCACGAATGCTCAAGTCTCTCATATAAAATAGTGTAGTATTTGCAAATAACCTATATATATCCTCCCATATACTTTAAATCATTTCTAGATTACTTATAATACCTAATATAATGTATGTGCTATGTAAGTAGTTGTTATCCTGTGTTGTTCAGGGAATAATGACAAGAAAGAGAAGTCTGTTCATGTGTAGTACAGATGTATTTTTTTCCCCTAATATTTTCAGTCTGAGGTTGGTTGAATCCATGGGTGTAAAACCCATGGATATGAAGGATTGACTGAATTTTCTCATGTTAAAATATATTGACTGTCTTAACTACATCTACCATAAGCCATTTTTCATATCAGTTTGTATTCCTGGAGCACACATTAACTGATGTTGTAGGGGAGTGGTCCAGCAGCATGCATCATAAGGAAAAATCACTAGGGCGTTGAAAACTCTTCCATGTATCATCCTTAAAAAAAAAAGAGAGAGAGCCTGCTATTGGTCTATTCAGGGATTCAACTTTTTTCTGGTTTAGTCTTGGGAGAGTGCATGTGTCCAGGAATTTATCCATTTCTTCTAGGTTTTCTAGTTTATTTGCGTAGAGGTGTTTATAGTATTCTCTGATGGTAGTTTGTATTTCTGTGGGGTCAGTGGTGATATCCCCTTTATCATTTTTTATTGTGTCTCTGAAATTGAGGCAATAATTAATAGCCTACCAACCAAAAAAAGTACAGGACCAGATGGATTCACAGCCGAATTCCACCAGAGGTATGAGGAGGAGCTGGTACCATTCCTTCTGAAACTATTCCAATCAATAGAAAAAGAGGGAATCCTCCCTAACTCATTTTATGAGGCCAACATCATCCTGATACCAAAGCCTGGCAGAGACACAACAAAAAAAGAGAATTTTAGACCAATATCCCTGATGAACATCGATGCAAAAATCCTCAATAAAATACTGGCAAACCGGATTCAGCAACACATCAAAAAGCTTATCCACCATGATCAAGTGGGCTTCATCCCTGGGATGCAAGGCTGGTTCAACATATGCAAATCAATAAACGTAATCCAGCATATAAACAGAACCAAAGACAAAAACCACATGATTATCTCAATAGATGCAGAAAAGGCCTTTGACAAAATGCAACAGCCCTTCATGCTAAAAACTCTCAATAAATTCGATATTGATGGAACGTATCTCAAAATAATAAGAGCTATTTATGACAAACCCACAGCCAATATCAAACTTTTAGCCTTTTTTTTTTTGTCTTTTCCCACAGCCAATATCATACTCAATGGGCAAAAACTGGAAGCATTCCCTTTGAAAACTGGCACATGACAGAGATGCCCTCTCTCACCACTCCTATTCAACATAGTGTTGGAAGTTCTGGCTAGGGCAATCAGGCAAGAGAAAGAAATCAAGGGTATTCAATTAGGAAAAGAAGAAGTCAAATTGTCCCTGTTTGCAGATGACATGATTGTATATTTAGAAAACCCCATCGTCTCAGGCCAAAATCTCCTTAAGCTGACAAGAAACTTCAGCAAAGTCTCAGGATAAAAAATCAATGTGCAAAAATCACGAGCATTCTTATACACCAATAACAGACAAACAGAGAGCCAAATCATGAATGAATTCCCATTCACAATTGCTTCAAAGAGAATAAAATACCTAAGAATCCAACTTACAAGGGATGTGAAGGACCTCTTCAAGGAGAAATACAAACCACTGCTCAATGAAATAAAAGAGGACACAAACAAATGAAAGAACATTCCATGCTCATGGATAGGAAGAATCAATATTGTGAAAATGGCCATATTGCCCAAGATAATTTATAGATTCAATGCCATCCCCATTAAGCTACCAATGACTTTCTTCACAGAATTGGAAAAAACTGCTTTAAAGTTCATATGGAATCAAAAAAGAGCCCGCATTGCCAAGACAATCCTAAGCAAAAAGAGCAAAGCTGGAGGCATCACGCTACCTGATTTCAAACTATACAACAAGGCTACAGTAACCAAAACAGCATGATGCTGGTACCAAAACAGATATAGACCAATGGAACAGAACAGAGCCCTCAGAAATAATACCACACACCTACAGCCATCTGATCTTTGACAAACCTGACAAAAACAAGAAATGGGGAAAGGATTCCCTATTTAATAAATGGTGCTGGGAAAATTGGCTAGCCATAAGTAGAAAGCTGAAACTGGATCCTTTTCTTACTCCTTATATGAAAATTAATTCAAGAGGATTAGAGACTTAAATGTTAGACCTAAAACCATAAAAACCCTAGAAGAATACTTAGGTAATACCATTCAGGACATAGGCATGGGCAAGGACTTCATGTCTAAAACACCAAAAGCAACGGCAACAAAAGCCAAAATTGACAAATGGGATCTAATTAAACTAAAGAGCTTCTGCACAGCAAAAGAAACTACCATCAGAGTGAACAGGCAACCTACAAAATGGGAGAAAATGTTTGCAATCTACTCATCTGACAAACGGCTATATGCAGAACCTACAAAAAACTCAAACAAATTTACAAGAAAAAGCAACCAACCCCATCAAAAAGTGGGCAAAGGAAATGAACAGACACTTCTCAAAACAAGACATTTATACAGCCAACAGACACATGAAAAAATGCTCATCATCACTCGCCATCAGAGAAATGCAAATCAAAACCACAATGAGATACCATATCACACCAGTTAGAATGGCAATCATTAAAAAGTCAGGAAACAACAGGTGCTGGAGAGGATGTGGAGAAATAGGAACACTTGTACACTGTTGGTGGGCCTGTAAACTAGTTCAACCATTGTGGAAAACAGTGTGGCGATTCCTCAAGGATCTAGAACTAGAAATACCATTTGACCCAGCCATCCCATTACTGGGTACATATCCAAAGGATTATAAATCATGCTGCTATAAAGACACATGTACACATATGTTTATTGCAGCACTATTCACAGTAGCAAAGACTTGGAATCAACCCAAATGTCCATCAGTGATAGACTAAGAAAATGTGGCACATATACACCATGGAATACTATGCAGTCATAAAAAAGGATGAGTTTGTGTCCTTTGTAGGGACATGGATGCAGCTGGAAACCATCATTCTCAGCAAACTATCACAAGAACAGAAAACCAAACACCGCACGTTCTCACTCATAGGTGGTAATTGAACAATGAGATCACTTGGACACAGGAAGGGAACATAACATACCGGGGCCTATTGTGGGGAGGGGCGATGGGGAAGGGATAGCATTAGCAGATATACCTAATGTAAATGACGAGTTAATGGGTGCAGCACACCAACATGGCACATGTATACATATGTAACAAACCTGCATGCTGTGCACATGTAGCATAGAACTTAAAGAATAATTTAAAAAAAATAAACAAGAGAGATTGATCATGATAATAGAGGTCTCAAGTTTTCTTTCAAACCCTCAACTGTACTTCAAAACTTGGTGCCAAAAACATGATTACTAGTACTCTAGAGAGTTTAAATGACAGCTTTATTGCCTGCACAAAACAATGACAGCTTTGATAAAAAAAAGCTCTATTTTCAATTTTTGGTCTCTACATTTCAAATTAGTTCAAAGCATTGATTATATCACTACAACAGAATAATCCACGTTTATAGAACTCTATGTATTATATTGTATCAAAGGTAAATAAGCAGAAATGTACACTACTGGTTTAAAAATAAATAAATGTTTACCCTTTCTACGGGGTGCTGTCCAAAGAAATCTGGATGTACTGCAAAATAGAAAGGCCTCAAGGCATTGACTGCTTCAGCTCCTGATAAAGCTCTTGAATAGGGAAACCAGTGTGGAAATATCTTCTCTAGACATAACCTTTTAAAAAGATGTGGGCTGGTTATTCATTGAGGCACTCACACACACACAAATCCTCAATGTATAAGGTGACAATAAAATTAAACGTACTATGCACAGCAGAAACAAGATAGATACTTCACAGTTTTCTGAAATCTATTAGTTTTACAAGCAGTGAGTACCACATGATTTCTAAAACAGTGGTTATAGTTTTTTCTTGTGCAAAATGAGAAATATTAAATAATATTATAATTTCCCCTCAATACTCCACTTTGAAATTCAGCTGACTTCACTGCAAATGGTAACAATTTCCTAATTTTCTTATTCAGATCAAAAAATCTTAATATCCAATAGTGTAATTCTCTCTCTATATCTATATCTCTCTCTTTACATCTATCTCTTTTTCTTTCTTTCTTTCAGACAGAGTCTTGCTTTGTTGCCCAGGCTGCAGTGCAGGGGTGCGATCTCTGGGGGTCAAGTGATCCTCCCACCTCACCCTCCCAAGTAGCTGGGACTACAGGCGCCTGTCACTACACCCAACTAGTTCTTTTGCTGATCTCAAACTGCTGGCCTCAAGCAATCCTCCCGCCTTACCTTCCCAAAGCAATGGGATTACAGTCATGAGCTACCATGCCTGGTTCAATTTTTTCCTTATAGTAGCAAACATTTTGATAATTATTATACTTAAAAAGAGATACAGATGTCTTTTAGCTCATTCTCTCATTATTAGCATGCTAAAATTATACTAGTTGGATAATTTGATATTCTCATTCTTTTTTTTTTGAGACGGAGTCTTGTTCTGTTGCCCAGGCTGGAGTGCAGTAGCATGATCTCAGCTCACTGCATGCAATCTTCTGCCTCTTGGGTTCAAGTGATTCTCCTGCCTCAGCCTCCCAAGTAGCTGGGACTACAGGCGTGTGCCACCACTGCCAGTGAATTTTTTTTTTTTTTTTGTATTTTTAGTAGAGACAGGGTCTCACCATGTTGGTCAGGCTGGTCTCAAACTCCTGACCTCAGGTAATCCACCCGCCTCAGCCTCCCAAAGTGCTGGGATTACAGGCATGAGCCACCACACACAGCCGTGATATTCTTAAGTTTTGTAACCCACTTGAGAGTGTTTTTTAAAAGTACAGTGTTTAAATCCAAATGAAATTACTTGCGGTTTTTTGAAAGCACTTCCACGACACCTATTTTTAAATGTTATCATTTACCTTTTCCATCCTAAGCTTTTATTTATTTTTGAGACAGAGTATCACTCTGTTGCCCAGGCTGGAGTGCAGTGGTGCGATCTTGGCTCAACCTCTGCCCCCTGGGTTCAAGAAATTCTCCTGCCTCAGCCTTGCAAGTAGCTGGGATTACAGGTGCATGCCACCATGCCCAGTTAATTTTTGCATTTTTAGTAGAGACGGGGTTTTGCCATGTTGGCCTGGCTGGTCTTGAACTCCTGACTTCAAAGGATCTCCCTGCCTCAGCCTCCCAAAGTGCTGGGATTACAGGCGTGAGCCACTGTGCCTGGCCCAACCTAAGCTTTTTATAATGAAGTCTCTAAACATTGCACATGCCTCTGTTCTCATACATTAGGTGTGCCAAGTCTTTAGAAAAGTTTTATGTTTTTAAAATGGTAGAGATTGTGGAATCATTTCTGGTGATTTTTAAACAATCTGGAGACCACCAACCTATTTGCAGATTATCTTTTATTCCTCCCATATATTTGAACCTTTTATAAAGTCAATATATGGATTTGTACCTCAAGGATTAGAACAGGAGTTTAAAGCAAAGGAAACAATCAGCCAGGATTAAATATGAGCTAGTCTAAGTACACCACAGTTGCAACTCCACTTATCCCTCTGAGCTTCCGTTCTCATTTCCCAACGTCTGACATACACTTAGCTCTCCTGCCAGCTGCTCAAATTTTGCGTATCTAAAAAAGGAGTACAAGTCATTATTGTCTTTTTAAATTCAGCCTGGTTACAGAAGGCCAGAGAGCAGCTAACAACTCAATTCAGGATTATCTTCCTTATTTTTGTTATTGTGGTACCACCTTTCTCAATGTTGTAAAGCACAAAACCCAAATTAGTTCACTACCCCCATTCACTTTCAGTTAGTAAAGTCTTCTCACTTTACAATGTTCAATGAAATCATTCCTTCTTCCCACGTTCTCTGCTATCAATTATCATCACTACAAAACTAGACTGTACACTCTCATAATTAGTCTACTCTGCTGTCCCTTTCTCTAACTATATTGGGTATCACCAACAGATTAACTTTCCTAAAATCCCACCATCACTGTATTCCTTACTCAAACAGCTTTGGTGGTGCCCTAATTCCTGCGAATAAATCCACTCCTTACTCTGGTATTTGAAACCCTCTTTCATTGTTTCCCCATCTGTCTTTCCAACTTGATCTCCAATCACTCCTTATAGAAACCCTTAGTTCCAGCTCCCAATAATCTTCCTCATTTTCCCCTTTTTGTCCTACATAATTTCTAAGTCCTAATGCATCCTCCCTGACCTGCATTTTCACCTATCCAAACTGAACAATTACTGCACACCTGTGATGCTCCAGGAGGCATTGTATCTATTCCCCCAGAACCTTCCCTTCTGTATTCTCATTAGTCTCTCCCTCTTTTAAACTCTAAAGAAAAGAAACTGTGTGCCCTAGATGCTTGAAACGTAATACCATAAAGTGAATTGTGTTAAGAGGAAACTTGATCTGTTTTTCTGTTTAAGCTTTTCACACCTAACTATTCTGAAGGACAGTATTCTTTTCACCTTCTACTCTGAATGTACTCTTGGAGGACCTGTCTTATATAAATTTTCTTTACTTTTTTGTTCCAGCTTTCCACCATAATATAACTTCAGAATTAGAAAAATTGTAACAAACTGAAATAAACCAAATGCATAACAGACCTCCTCCGCCACCCCCACAATACTTATTACAGATTGGACCACGATACTTACCTCCTCATAGGTCTCAGGTGGCAAAACATTTCTGAATATATATGTACGTCAACTTCCAGGCATCCATTAATTGCTTAAAAGTTAAGCAGATATCACAAATGAACAAGTAGAATTTTAAATGTAAAACACATTATGATTTATATTATCACCCAAAATATGAAATACTTAGTTATTAATCTTATAAAATATGTATAAGATCTAGATAAGGAAAACTACAAAACTCAGATGAAAGAAATAGAAAGACTAAATAAATGGAGAGATACTCCACGTTCATGGATAGGAAGACTCAATATTGCTAAGCTGTCATTCTTCCCAACTTGATCTATAGATTCAATGAAATTACAATCAAAATCCCAGCAAGTTAGTTTGTGGATACTGACAAACGGATTCTAAAGTTTATAAAGAGAGATAAAAGACCCAGAGAGTAGCCAACTCAATAAGGAAGGAGAACAAAGGTAGAAAAATGACACTACTTTATTTCAAGACTTACCCTAAAGCTACAGTAATTAAGACAGCACGGTGTTGGTGAAAGAATGAATAGAACCATGGAACAGAATAGAGAGCCCAGAAATAGATTCATATAAATAAAGTCAACTAATCTTTGGCAAAGGAACAAAGGCAATCCATTGGAGCAAAGACAGCTTGTTCAACAAATGACACTAAAACAATCGGACATCCACATGCAAAAAAATTAACCTGGACACAGACCTTACATTTTTCACAAAAATTAACTCAAAATGGGTCATATACCTAAATATAAAATGCTATAAAACTCCTAGAAGATAACAAAAGAGAAAATCTAGATGACCTTGGGGATAGAAATGACTATTTAGTTATAACACCAAAGGCACTATCCGGCTTAACTGGTAAGCTGGACTTTGGTCAAACTGAAAAATTCTGCTCTGTGAAAGAAAGTGTCAAGAGAATGAGAAGAAAAGCCACGAACTTGGAGAAAATATTTGCAAAAGACACGTCTGATAACAAACTATTATCCAAAATATACAAAGAACTCCTGGCCGGGCGCGGTGGCTCACGCCTGTAATCCCAGCACTTTGGGAGGCCGAGATGGGCGGATCACGAGGTCAGGAGATCGAGACCATCCTGGCTAACATGGTGAAACCCCGTCTCTACTAAAAATACATAAAAAAAATTAGCCGGGCGTGGTGGCAGGCACCTGTAGTCCCAGTTACACGGGAGGCTGAGGCAGGAGAATGGCGTGAACCCGGGAAGCGGAGCTTGCAGTGAGTGGAGATCGCGCCACTGCACTGCAGCCTGGGCGACAGAGCGAGACTCCGTCTCAAAAAAAAAAAAAAAAAAAAAAAGAACTCCTAAAGCTTAACAATGAGAAAACAAGCAACCCAATTAAAAATGGGCAAAAACCCTTAACAGACACCTCACCAAGAAGACATACAGATGGCAAATAAGCACATGAAATGCAGTTCAACATCATGTATCCTCAGACAATTGCAAATTAAAACAAATGAGATGCCACTGCAAATCTATTAGGATGGCCAAAATCCAAAACATTGACAACACCTGCTGGTAAGGATGTGCGGCAACAGCAATTCTCATTCACTCCTAGTGGGAAGTGAGGATGCAAACAGGTGCAGCCACTTTGCAAGACAGTGCGGCAATTTCTTACAAAACTAAACATACTCTTACCATACTATACAGCAATAGTAGTCCTTGGTAATTTACAAAACAAACTGAAAACTATGTGCACGCAAAAACCAGTGCACAGGTGTTTATAGAGGCTTTATTTATAACTGCTAAAACTTGGAAGCAAACAAGATGTGCTTCAGTAAGTAAATGGATAAACTGTGGTACATCCAGACAACTGAATATTACTCAGGCTAAAAAAAAGTCAGGGAGGAAACTTAACTGGATACTACTAAGTTAAAGAAGTCGGCCAGGTGCGGTGGCTCACGTCTGTAAGCCCAGCACTTTGGGAGGCCGAGGCAGGTGGATCACGTGAGGTCAGGAGTTTGAGACCAGCCTGGCCAACATGGTAAAACCCTGTCTCTACTAAAAATACAAAAATTAGCCTGGTGTGGTGGAGGGCGCCTGTAATCCCGGCTACTAGTGAGGGGAGGTAGGAGAATTGCTTGAACCCAGGAGTCAGAGGGTTGCAGTGACCCAAGATCGTGCCATTGCACTCCAGTATGGGCAACACCAGCAAAAACTCTTGGCTCAAAAAAAAAAGTCAATCTGAAAAGGCTATATACCTGTATACTGTATGATTCCAAGCATATGAATTCCAAGCAGTCTGGGAAAGGCAAAAAGTCTGAAGACAGTACAAAAAGATCCATGGTTGCCACGGGTTAATCGATAGGGAGGGATGAACAGGCAGAGCTCAGAGGATTTTTAGGGCAGTGAAACTATTCTGTATGAATGATACTACAACGGTGGAAGCATCATTTGTCAACATTTGTCAAAATTCTTAGAATGGACAACACCAAGTGAACCCTAAGGTAAAGCATGGACTTTGGGTGATAAGGATGTGTCAATGTAGACTGACTGTAATAAATATACCATTTTGGTGTGGATGCTGATAGTGAGGGAGGTTATGTGTAAATAGGGATGGGAGTATATGAAACTCTCTTTACTTTCTGCTAAATTTTGCTGTGAACCTAAAATTGCTCTGAAAATTAAAGTTTATTTTTAAAACAAGCTATGGAGATAAAAGTGGGGGAAAGGATTTGAATCACATGAACTTTTCCAATAATTTAGATCTTTAGCAAGATATTCGAGTATATTATGGTCTCCATATCAACTGACCAAATGATTTTTAAAATCCTATGAGCGGTACCTTATTAAAATTTTGCAAGGCCCTATTATTCACATAATAACCATCAGGTAAAAAATTATTTTCTCCCCTATGTAATTGAGCTCTGAGCTTTTCCTGTTCTCCATTATTCCATTCTAGTGGAAAGCTGCTGAGTAGCACGTTCTCTCAAAACAATCATCACATGGCTAAAGTCCTATTCTGTCACATCTTAAGTACCAAAATGTTTTTAATATATTATATATACATATATATCTTTATATATATAATAGATATATAACTAACATATAATATATACATAACATATATATAAGTGAAGCGGTGAATATATGTGAAGTAATCTAATGAAGCATAACTGTTATTAATAGAATGACAAAATTTTAAATGAAAAATCAGGAATTATCTTTTTAAAAAGTACATTCTTAAACAAAAATGGATACTTCAATTTATTTCTAGGTTGACTGACGTGGCAAGAGTTTCTTGGAGACAGAATGCGTTCATAGGTATCCATTTAAATATTAAAACGGTGGGTTGGGCGCGGTGGCTCACGCCTGTAATCCCAGCACTTTGGGAGACTGAGGCGGGAGGATCACCTGAGGTCAGGAGTTCGAGACCAGCCTGGCCAACATGGTGAAACCCTGTCTCTACAAAAAATACAAAAATTAGCCAGGTGTGATAGTGGGACCCTATAATCCCAGCTACTTGGGAGGCTGAGGCAGCAGAATCACTTGAACCCTGGAGGTGGAGGTTGGAGTCAGCCAGGATCACGCTACTGCACTCCAGCCTGGGCAATAGAGTGACACTCTGTCTCAAAATAATAATAATAATAATAATAATGATAATAAAACAAAATAAAATAAATTTTAAAAGGTGATTTTATTTAACCATGAACATTGATATTTTGAGACAAATACAAAGATACAGAAAATACTTCTACCATTTCAAAGATTTCTGAGATCAAATGGAGACACAATGAGGAAAAAAAAAATTGGGGGCTAGATGCAGTGGCTTTTGCCTGTAATCCCAGCACTTTGGGAGGCCCAGGCAGGCAGATCGACTGAGGTCAGGAGTTCAAGACCAGCCTGGCCAACATGGAGAAACCCTGTCTCTACCCAAAACACAAAAATTAGCCATCCATGGTAATGTGTGCCTGTAGTCCCAGCTGCTTGGGAGGCTGAGGTAGGTGAATCGCTTTAACCCGGGAGGCAGATGTTGTAGTGAGCCGAAATTGCGCCATTGCACTGCCTGGGCGAGAGAGTGAGACTCCATCTCAAAAACAACAACAATAAAAAACACACAAAAAATTTGAACTATTTGAAGGTTCAGTGTTACCTGTGAGGGACTGAATTCTCACCAAACTTCATCATAAGGTGAACAAAATAACCTAGATTTAGTTAAGACAGCACAAGTGCCAGACCCCAAGCTTGCAAAGAAAAAAAGACTAGAAAAATATGCAATCTGTAACAATGGCTATCTCTAGGTGGTAGGATATTAAATGTTTTAATTTTGCTTCTTATCTCCTATATTATTTACAACAAACATGTGAAATATGTTTTTTAAAAAAAATCATCTGCATATAATGGTTCCCACTTGTAATCCCAGTAATTCAGGAGGCTGCGGCAGGAGTATTGCTTGAGGGAGGCCAGGAGTTCAAGATCAGCCTCTGGGCAACATAGTGAGACCCTGTCTCTAAAAAACAAAAAAGTAGCTGGGTGGTGTTGTCTGTCTGTAGCCTCAGCTACTCAGAAAGCTGAGGTAAGGATGGCTTCACTCTGGGAAGTGGAGACTACAATGAGCTGCAATCGTGCCACTGTATTTCAGCCTGAGAGACAGAGCAAGACTCCTGACTCAAAAAAAATTAAAAAAAAGAGAAAGAAAAAGAAGGAAGTGGGGCCTTTGGGAGGTAACTGTCAGGCCTCTGAGCCCAAGCCTGCACATATACATCCAGATGGCCTGAAGTAACTGAAGAATCACAAAAGAAGTAGAAATGGCTGGTTCTTGCCTTAACTGATGACATTACCTTGTGCAATTTCTTCTCCTGGCTCAGAAGCTCCCCCACTGAGCACCTTGTGACCCCCAGCCCCTGCTCCCAAGAGAACCACCCCCTTTGACTGTAATTTTTCACTACCTACCCAAATCCTATAAAACTGCCCCACCCCTAACTCCCTTTGCTGACTCTCTTCTCAGACTCAGCCCACCTGCACACAAAGCCTGTTTGGTGGCCTCTTCACACGGATGCATGTGACATTTGGTGACTCGGACCAGGGGATCTCCCTTGGGAGAGCAAT